GCTGCTGTCCCTGCTGCTGCTGCTGCTGCTGCTGTCCCTGCTGCTGCTGCTGCTGCTGCTGTCCCTGCTGCTGGTGCAAATGCATGTGGGGGTATGTGTCTCCTGTCTCCTTGCTGCTGTCTCTTCATCTCAGATTTGCTTCGCAACTCTTTAAAGAAGGGGTGGCTTGAGGATTTCTATGGTTTTGTTCAAACCCTCGAGGACTCAACAACAAAAGAAGTTATGACGCATATTCTGAAGGTGCTGTCTCCTTTTGTCTCCTCCTGTCTCCTTTTACTCTGTCTCCTCCTATTTTGTCTGTCTCCTTTTATCTGTCTCCTCCTTTTATCTGTCTCTTCTATCGTCTGGCTGATTGCTTTTCTGTCTCCTTTCTTCTGTCTCCTTTTCCTTCTTATTTGTTTTGGTGTCATCTTCTCTCTCCCCTCAAACCTCTCCTAACTTCACATTCTGTTTCTAGGGTTTAGGGTTTAGGGTTTAGGGTTTAGGGTTAAGGGTTTATGCTAGAGAGCTCGAGGTTTATTGTTTATGGTTTAGGGTTTAGGGTTTAAGTTCAAGCGGTGACGGTTGAAGGTTTGCGATAGAGCCTAGGGTTTAGGGTTTAGGGTTTAGGGTTTAGGGTTTGTGTCTCCTCAGACGGAGGCGGACTTCAGAGTTTTGTCGCTGGCCATCAACTCCCTCAGCTCGGATCAGCAGCAGCAGCAGCAGCAGCAGCAGCTGGAGAAGCACTCTCTCTTTCCAAACTTCGGTTACTTGTATCCAGATGGTCCGTCTTCTGCTGCTGCTGCTGCTTTTCCTGCTGCTGCTGCTGCTGCTGTTGCTGCTGCTGCTTCTGTCGCTGCTGCAGAGTTTTGCGCTGGTTTTTTATTTGCTGCTGCTGCTGCTGCAGGGACCGACAGAATCCGCAAGGCCTGGAACGACCCCACCCTTAGGGCAGCCTTGGAGCCTTACCCCGTAGGTGTCTCCTTTCAGCAGCAGCAGCAGCAGCAGCCGCAGCAATAGCAGCAGCAGAAACAGCAGCAGCAAGTGCAACGCGTGGTTTATTCTTTGGGTTGTGCTGCTGCAGCGATATTTGAATGTCTACGATCAATGCCGCGCCTTCTACATCGGCGATGTGAGCCTCCTGCTGCTGTTGCTGCTGCTGCTGCTGCTATTGCTGCTGCTGCTGTTCTGTGCATCACCTGTATATCTTGGCTTCTCCTGCTGTTGCTGTCGGGCTGCGGCTGATAGCTGCGCCTGCTGCTGCAGCAGCAGCAGCAACAGCAATAACAGCTGCTGCTGCAGCAGCAACAGCAACAGCAACAGCAACAGCAGCAGCAGCAGCAGCAAATGGAGTGTATATGACTGATATCTTGCTGCTGCAGGAAAGAGACAAAGCAGACATGACTACTCGTTTCAAAACCCTGGAGGATCTCCTTTATAGGGAGATGGTGCAGATGTGCGAACTAACCTTCGAGCAGCAATTTCATTACGGTCAGCCTGCTGCTGCTGCTGTTGCTGCTGCTGCTGCTGCTGTTGCTGCTGCTGCTATTGTTGCTGCTGCTGTTCCTGGTGCTGCTGCAGCAGGAAAGGAAAAAGTGGAGAAAGGAGAGATGTTGCTTTCATGAAGTGCTGATGCAGGCATTGCTGCTGCTGTTGCTGGGATCTGCTGCTGTTGCTGCATGGGTTGCTGCTGCTGCATTCGTTGCTGCTGCTGCAGGAGTGTTCTATGCTTGGGTGAAGCTGAAGGAGCAGGAGATCCGGAACATCGTCTGGATAGCAGAGATGGTGTGTCTCCAGTTGCTGCTGCAGCAGCAGCAGCAACAGCAACAGCAACAGCAACAACAGCAGCAGCAACAGCACTGACTGTCTCCTGACTGTTTTGTGTGTCTCCTTTGCTGCTGCAGATACTGATGCAGCGTAAAGAACACATCGACTCCATCGTCCCTCTCTTCGAGCCAAGAATTTGAACCAGCAGCAGCAGCAGCAGCAGCAGCAGCAATAACATCAGCAGCAAGAGCAGCAGCAACAGCTGCTGCTGCGTGTCCTCCAGGCTTTCTATCACCAGCTGCTGCAGCTGTTGATAGAAGGCCAGCTGCTGCAGCTGCATCCCTGCTGCGCGGAGCAGATAGCCCTCATTTGAGGCTGCTCTCATTTTTTTTGCTGCTGCTGCTGCAGAAGCAGCAGCAGCAGCAGCAGCAGGTGCAGCAATAGCAGCAGGAGCAACAATGAAGAGCGTTTGCTGTTGCAGACATTTGTCTCCAATCCTTTCTCACACCCCCGCTGTCTGTACAAATTTGCTTCTGCTGCAGTAACTTACGCACCGTGTGGCTAGCTAGTTAGCTAGCTACTCAGCTAGCTAGTTAGCTAGCTACTCAGCTAGCTAGCTAGCTAGCTACTCAGCTAGCTAGCTAGCTAGCTAGGTAATATGGCTAGCCAGCTAGCATGGTACCCTCGAAGGGTGCAGCGAAGGCTTCAGTTAGTGCAGTAGACAGCAGCAGCATGCTGGCAACAGCATCAACAGCTGCAACAGCATCAACAGCAACTGCAGCAGCGACGGCAGCTGCAGCAACAGCAGCAGCAACAGATGCTAGCTACCCGCCGAGCCTTGCGCGGTAGCTAGCTAAGGAGATACGCTATAGAAAGCTAGCTAGCTGCTAGCTAGCTAGCAGGCTACGGAGCTCACGAGCAAGCGCTTAGGTAGCTAGCTTACTAGATAGCCAGTAGGCTGGTGCAGTGGGCAGCTAGCTACTGCTGCTCCTAGCTAGCTGGAGGAGGGGCTGGCTTGGCAGCTAGCTAGCCAGCTAGCTAGCTGTATAAACACATCGATTTTCAAATCGCCCGGCTGTTGCCGGATAGCGGGTCTGGTTGTTGCTGCTGCTGCTGCTGCCTCGAAGGCAGCAGCAGCAGCAAGTAGGGGGCCTGTGCACGGGGAGACAGCAGGGATAGAGGGAGATGGCTAGCTGCGGCTAGCTGCGGCTAGATGCAGCTAGCTGCAGCTAGCTGCTGCTCTCTCCGTCTCCTCTCTGGGGCTCGCGACCTGCAAATACACCTGCTGACCGGCTTACACCGGCAGCTGCTGCTGTTAGTGCTGCAGCAAAGCTGCAGCAGCAGCAGCACGCAGCTGCTACTGCAGCAAAGCAGCAGCAGCAGCACGCAGCTGCTGCTGCAGCGAGGACCAAGCCTCAACAGCTACCTGCTGTCGTGCTGCAGCCGCTGCTGCGGCCATCTTCACATTGGGGTGTCTGTACACCCCGTCAGCCTTCCCTCTTGAGGTGTGCATACTATAAGAATCACCTCTTGGTCTACCTTCTGGCTAGCTAGCTAGCTAGCTAGCCACTCAACCAAACTCGCATCTAGCTAGCTAGCTAGCCAGGTAACCACGCAGGCAGGCTCGACGCTAGCTAGCTAGCTAGCTAGCTAGCCAGACAACGCTACGAGCAGCAGATTCGCAGCTGTAGAGACTGCACCAAGTTGCAGCCCTTTTCTCAGCTAGCCAACCAGCCGATTGGCCTCTCAACTAGCTAGCCAGCTAGCTAGCTAGCTAGCTAGCTAGCTAGGGGGAATTAGAGGCGGCCCTTATAAATCAAAGTGCCGCCGCGGCGCAGCTTGCAGCACCACAGCACAAAATAATCTGCTGCCAACGCGCTGTGCAGCAAATCCGCCAAAAATAAACCCAAAAAATGCTCCCCTGCAAACCAGCAGCAGCAGCAGCAGCAGCAGCAGCAGCAGCAGCAGCAGCAAAGAGCAAGGCTGTGTCAGGAAAGCGCAACAACCGAAGGGCTCGCTGCAGAACGGCACTCCCAACCCAGCAGCAGCAACAGCAGCAACAGCAGCAGCAACGGGAACAGCACGGCAGTACGCCTCCAGCAGCAGCAGCAACAGCAGCGGCAGCAGCAACAGCAGCAGCAGCGGCAGCAGCAGCAGCAGCAAAAGCAGCTTGCCTTGTAAGTAGAGTGTAACCCAGAAGAAGAGGCGAATGATGCGAGAGATAACCAACAGCCCCACGTAATGCGAAGTCAACGGCTCCACCTGCACGTACACCCCAACGGGCTAGCCACATAGCTAGCTAGCTAGCTAGCTAGCTAGCCGCTTAGCTAGGGTTTAGGGTTAAGGGTTTTAGGGTTTTAGGGTTTAGGGTTCTAGGATTCAGGGTTTTAGGGTTTAGGGTTCTAGCTGTACAGCTAGTTAGCTAGCTAGCTAGCTGGCTAGAATTTCTATGCCCGCCTGACGCTGTTTAGAGGGTTTGTGGTTTAGGGTTTACTCATAAAGAGCAGGCGACCCCTGCTTAGTTCAGGGTTTAGGGTTTGTTGTGTCTGTGGAGACGGGCTTAGGGTTTAGGGTTTAAGTTTTGCTGCCTACAGCTCCCCAAAAGGGTTTAGGGTTTGTGTTTGCTACATCTAGGGTTTGTGCTAGCTGCAATTAGGGTTTAAGGTTTGTTGTTTGTTAATTGCATTTAGGGTTTAGGGTTTGTTGTTTGTTAGTTGCATTTAGGGTTTAGGGTTTGTTGTTTGTTAGGTGTATTTAGGGTTTAGGGTTTAGGGTTTAGGGTTTATTGCTGGTTTACTTCTAGCATGCGTCTAAGAAAGTAGAGCTGCGGGAGCAGAGCAAAGGCCTCTAAGTATATCGTAAATGCGACAAAAATCTGAATGCTCAGCCAATTGCGGCTGGGGTGTATAAAAAAGGCTAGAGTAAGTGCAGCTGCAGCACAAACCCCAGCACACAAGATATACATACGCTGCTGCTGCTGCTGCTGCTGCTGCTGTTGCTGCTGTTGCTGCTGTTGCTAGTGGTGGCGGTGCTGTTGCTGGTGGTTGTGGTGGGAGTGGTGCTGTTGTTGCTGCTGCTGCTGCTGTGCTGCTGCTGAGAGTACCGCGCTCTTGCTTATGCGGCTGCTGCTCGAACTGCTGCTGCTGCTGCTGCTCGAACTGCTGCTGCTGCTGCTGCTGCTGTTGCTGGCGGCACTGCAGCAGCATTGACTTTCGTGTTCCCCTACCAGCTGTACGGCCTAGGGTTTAGGGTTTAGGGTTTAGGGTTTACCTGGTATTAAGACAATTGCTTTAAGAGGGCGGGTCATCTCTTTAGTGTGCGTATAGCGAAAGACAAACATTAAATATGTTAGCAGCACAGATATACAAGTACTCAGCAGCAACTCCACGTACGCCAGCCGAGTCTGCAGCAGCAGCAGGAGCATGAGAAACGCCGCAGGAGCCGTAGTAGCAGCCAGAGCAGCAGCAACAACCACGGTCACAGCAACAGAAACCACACCCCAGCAGCAGCAGCAGCAACAACAACAGAAGCAGTATGCGCAGGAACAGCAGCACCATCACAAACAGCAGCATCAGCATGCATAGTAGCAGCAGCTGCATGCTCAGCAGCAGCAGCAGCAGCAAGCTTAGCAGCAGCAGCATGCACAGCAGCAGTACCAGCAACAGCAGCACCAACTGCATGCTCAGTAGCAGCAGCAGCAACAACAACACCATCATCACCAGCACCACCACCAGCAGCAGCACAACCAGCAGCAGCAGCACAACCAGCAGCAGCAGCACAGCCAGCAGCAGCAGCACAACCAGCAGCAGCAGCACAACCAGCAGCAGCAGCAAAGTATTGTCTGACCTCTACAAGCCTGGTGTCGAGGCTCCAGAGACACCTGGCGAGAGTAGCTGCTAAGTAGCAGAGCTGCGAGTCTATAGAAAGCCCGTATATCGTTCTTTGCTGCATTATTTTATATGTTAGGATGCAGCTAGCAGCAAAATGAATTAGATAACCTAATATAAACAACCAAATATCCATCTTCCTGCTGCTGCTGTTGCTGCTACTGCTGCTGTTGCTGCTGTTCCTGCTGCTCCCGCTGTTGCTGCGGATGCTCTGGTGCTCTTGCTGCTGTTGTTGGTGCTGCTGCTGCTGCTGCTGCTGCGGCTGCTGCTGCGGATGGGTTGGTGCTGCTGTTGCTGCTGCTGCTGCGGTGGCGGATGGGCTGCTGCTGCTGCTGTCGGTGGTGGTGTTCTTCCTGCTGCTGATGCTGTTGCTGCTCTTGCTTCTGTTGTTTTTCCTGCTGCTGCTGTTGCTGCTGTTGTTGCTGTTCTCTTGACGGTGCTGGTGCTGCACCTCCGTTGTCTGCTGCTGAGATGCTGCTGCAAGTAGTGTTAGCCTTGTTAGGCTGTCTCCTTCTTCAGTTCTGCTGCTCCTGTTGCTGCTGCTGCTGCCGATGTTGCTGCTGCTGCTGCCGATGCTGTTGCTGCTGCTGCGGCTGCTGCTGCTGCATATGGTTTAGGCTGAGTGAGAAGCATAAATCCGAGGTGTACGTACACCTCTACAAAAAAAGGGTCAAAGACAAGGAGCAACAGCTTAGACCTGTGCAGCTATTTGCTGCTGGTGCTGCTGCTGCTGCTACTCCTGCTGCTGCTGCTGCTGCTGCTGCTTGTTGGGTAATAGAGGGACCCCGGCATACAATAGAGCGCACACTTCAATAGCGATAGCTGCTGCTGGTACTGCTGCTGCTGCAGCGTAGAAGGTTTGTTGTTGCTGTTGCTGTTGCTGCTGCTGCTGCTGAGTCACCGAGATAGAGACGGCACCGCTGCTGCTGCTGGCTAGAAGAGGGTGCTACTGTTGCTGCTGCTGCAGCAATATATTATAAAACTATCCGACCGATAAACCATATACTGTCTCCTCCTTTGAAACCTGGAATTAACTGACGAGCAGCAGCAGCAGCAGCTGCTGCTGCTGCTGCTGCAGCAGCAGGTCTCCTCCGGTGTCGTGCCGAGCACCAGAGGACAGGCGCAGCTGCTGTTGCCGCTGCTGTTGCTGCTGCTGCTGCTGCAGTTTTCTTAGCAGCAGAAACCGGATAATATTGTTTATTTTTATTTCATTATAAACAGAGAATGCGTTATCTAATTAGTCACCTTAGCCATAGTCCCGCTGCTGCTGCTGCTGCTGCTGTTGCTGCTGCTGCTGCTGCTGCTGCTGCTGCTGGACGCCGCCCGACTGCTGCGCCTTCTTGTTTTGTCTGTCTCCTTGTGAGTACATACACCAGAACAGTATATATATTAAAGCAAATGCTGCTGCTCAGAAGCAGCAGCATTTGCAGCAGCAGCAGCAGCAGCAGCAGAGATAGAGTCTCAGCCCTGCTGCAGGAGACACGCCTTCTCCGGTAGTTGCAGTAGCAGCAGCAGCAATAGCAACAGCAGCAGCAATAGTAGTAGTACTAGTAGAAGCAGCAGCAATAGCAGCAGCAGATATTATTCATAACCTCCTTAGGGCTGTAGCTGTGCGTCAGCCGCTGCTGTGAAGAGACAGAGAGACAGAGACAGAGACAGAGACAGAGAGACAGAGACAAAGCGAAGAGACAGAAAGGAGACAGATAAAGAGAAGAGACAGAAACAGAGACAGATAAAGGAGACAGATAAAGGAGACAAGTAAAGGAGACAGGTAAAGGAGACAGAGACATATAAAGGAGACAAATAAGAGACAGAGACATATAAAGGAGACAGACAGAGACAGATAGAGGAGACAGACAGAGACAGATAGAGGAAGAGAGAGAGGAGACAAACAAAGACGAAGGAGACAGACAAAGACAAAGACAAAGACAAAGAGACAGATAAAGACAGAGACAGAGACGAAGGAGACAGCAGGATAAGGAGACAAACAAATGCAGAGAGAGACAGAGGCAAGAATATAGAGAAACAAACAAATGCACAAAGAGAGACAAACAAAACAATAAAGAAAGATAAACAACGAGAAGCAAACAAATGCAGAAACAAACAAATATAAAGAGACAGATAAAAGCAAACAAATACGAAGACAGACAGACGGAGACACGCAAATCTTCTTTCTCTCTGTCTCCTTCTGTCTGTCTCCTTTTGTCTGTCTCCTTTTGTCTGTCTCCTTTTGTCTGTCTCCTTTTGTCTGTCTCCTTCGTTTGTCTCTCTCTAATAATGTTTTGATGTAATGTGCATTATATAGTATATAACGTATATATATATATATATATATATA